AAAAAAAGGAAGTACTGTCAAGAGAAAGAGGTGGAAACAGATGGACAAAAGGAGGAGTAAAGGCCAAAAGTAGACTGTTGTTACAATAAAAGAATATCGAAGGCTGCAAGAGAAAGAGACAGAAGGATTAAATGGAGAAAGAGGCGGACATGGAAGTTTAAAGAGTCCAACAATAAAAGAAAAGCAGATCGGCTGAAGGAGAGAGAGAATAGTTCTGGAAGCCAAAAAAGGCTGAAAGGCCAAAGACATGCAGATAAGCTCCGGCTGAAAACCAGGTTGCAGATGCTTAGAAGGAAAAATAAACTTTATAAAAGATAGATTAATGGTTACATTTAATACCTGATAAAATGGATTAATGACCTTGATTATGTTTATGTAAATGGTTTAACTTATGTTTGTTCCACTCTATTAGCATTATTACTTTTGCAAGTATGGTGAGGCTTTTTTTTTATTAAATTAAAAATTGTAAGAAGATTGATGGGGGAAAATATTTAAAAAGGGGTAATATGATGAATAAAATGATAACTAAAGGAAGATATTGGAGAAAACAATATGATAAGTCTGTTTTAGGGATTCATATTTAGTTATTGGTGCAAAAATTTATTTGTGTGCATAGGTCTCAGAAAGGTTTTGTATTAAGAAAATCAAACTATGATTTATTAGTTACAAATCTGTAAGATTAGATTACAGTGTTAAAAGGAGTAGACCCATAGGAACTGTATGTTTATAAATGAGGGTGATTTATAGGAAATGTATGTTTATAATTAATCCAGTAGTAGATAAAAGATAAAATTTATTTAGTCTGGGTTATAGGGTTAGTTAGAGCATGAAATTCAGTTAAGATAGGGTTTAGGTTCTAAAGGTAATGCAAATTGGGCTACAGTACTTGATATAAATTGTTAGTAAGGTTGAGAATAAGAAATGAATTTCTAGTGAAGTACGCTATTTGATCGACGTGATGCTTTGTGTTGTTGAAAAGGGGAAATGTTTGGTTTTCTGTTATATGTCGGGTGTGTGTGGTGGTGGTGTGTAGATGCGTGATGTTTAAAAGTGTGGAAAATAATAAAAAGTATTTTAAAAAAAAACAGTGGCCAAAAATAATCTCAAAAATAATGTCTGGTCATACAATGGTCCCCTAAAAATCCACAGGCTTTGATAAATATGATTAGTTGGTTTTATTTTCTGCAATTTACTTGTGTATTTTTGTAATCTTTCAACTGAATACCTGCATTGGAAATGCAGCTGATGTGATTTTGCATTTCCCCCCATACTTCATCTCTCAGAACAAGAGCCAGGGACTAAGCTTTGTCCGGATACATGCGCCGTGGAATATACTGACCCGAGAAGCAGAGCTCCTTAAAATAAAAATGCCCACTAAAAAGGTAACTACCTGATTCTTTTCCTGTTCTTTCAAAAGTTGCAGATATGGCCTTGGAATGGGTATGGGGACACAGAGAGAGATGAAACATGTGTAGCTCCGCATGCTGGCAAAGACAGTTCCAGCCTGTTGTTTGAAACAGGAGCTTTCCCCAGGAAAAACTGATGTACCTTGCTGACGATTCCCTTCCTTGGCTTGCAAAAGGACTCTAAACCTGTGACATATCATGATGTGGATGCCTTCCCAGCCAAGCTACCTGCGTACAACAAGCAGCAGATTCTCTGGCCAATGATGGGCTGGTTGGGGAAGCACTCTGGGACGTTAACTTATGAGTCTATATACTCATATGTACTGATGTTGCTGCTTATGCGGGCACATACCCACCAGGTGCTGCATGACCTGCACTAGCTGCCTGTCGAATGCCAGATTCATTTCAAGGTGTTGGTGCTTACCTTTAAAGCCCTATATGGCCAGGAGCCTGTATACCTTCAAGACCACCTCTCCCCATATGAGCCCCATAGAACATTGCGTTCTATGAACCAGCACCTCCTGGTAGTCCCTGGCCCTAGGGATGTCCAACCTGCCTCAACTAGTGGAATGAGCTACCTTTTGAGATCAGGGCCCTGTGGGATCTATTACCCTTTCACCAGGTCTTTAGCTGAGGCAGTGGGCATCCACTTTGATTTGGCCTCCTCTCCATTGACTGCAGATCCTAGAAGCCAATTGGGACCACAATACTATCTGTTGAGGTACACTGTTGTTTTAGTGTGTTGAGGTTTTACTGATTTTAATGGATTTTTGCAATATGTTTTTATTGTAAATCTGCATTAAGTGAAGACCAATGTGTTGGTACCCACCCTGAGCCTACAATGTGGGGAGGGCGGAATATAAGTCCAATAAAGTAAAATAAAAAATAAAATAAATACTAGCTCCAAATCCCAGCTAGCAGAATATTTTCAGGCAGGGGTGTGATACTTCTCTTTAAAACCAAACTCAGTTTTCGTAAGCCAACCTAGAAACAGAACAGTAACTCTTCTCTGGAATAAGGGGAAGCTGTATCTGTTCTCACCAAAATGTACCTAGGGACAATGGCTTGGGCAGATCTGCTGTTGGTTCATTATGGAAACTTGCGAGATGCTTCCAGAGTAATCACCTGTTCATTCACACTCTTTTGCTTCTTCAGACATACGAAATAAAAAAGGAAGGGGGAATTGCCAAGAAACTGTCTGAAATATGGCGCAAATTCACTGAACCGTTGCAGCCCAAAGTGCCACAGCTAAACACCACCAGGATGAAGCATTTGTCTTACCCCTTCTCTAGAGAAAAAATCTATTTGTGAGTATTTAACAAAATCCACAGTGTGATTCATTGAAGTATATAATGCAGTGAGAAACAATCTGGTGAACTGCATTGCATGAAGCCCTGCGGTCCCCCACCCCTTTTTTTGGTACTCTGTGTGGAACTGGACTCTTCCAGAATACAGATGAGAGAATTGTATGTTTGAGTGGTCACACCTATGATGAGAGAGGTGTCTGGAAGACTCTAGCATTGGAAGTAACTGCCAGCCTCTTTCCTTTTAGTGCACAAGGACACAGGGGCCAGCCAGCCCAAGAGCAGGGTTCTACCTCTTTTCCTGAATGTATGATACTGCCCTAGACTGAGTCAGGCATGTGGTTCATCTAGACCACCGTTCTCTGGTTCAGCTGGCTCTTCAGTATTTCAGGCTGTGAAAGGTTTTTCCCAGGGCCCTATTGGAGATGCTGGATTATTGAATCTGTGGCCCTCTATATGTACAGAATGCACTTTGCTGTTGAGCTTTGGCACTCCCATGGACAAATGTGAAGCTGCCTTTATAGTGAACCGATCAGCAGTTCATCTAGTCCAATGTTTTATTATTCTGGCAAGAGTTCTCTAAGGTCTCATCCAGACTGGTGTGCCTTTCTGCTTGCAAAGTACAAGCTCAGCCACTGATCTATGGCTTTTTCTTTCCTATAATGATGAAGACTCTGGCCTGACTCCAACCTCAGACTGAGCAACACATTGCTCAGGCACAGGACTGGTTGTAAACCTCTGAATCCCATTGCTAACATCCCATTGCAACATCAGAAGGCCTTTGTCTCTGTGTCTTGTTTGTTGGCTCGGGCAACTGTTTGGCCACTGTGCAAAGCAAGATGCTGGACTAGATGGACCACTGGTCTGAACCAGTAGGGCTGTTCTTACATTCTTAGAACAACGGTGCTTCTCGATTGTCCATTTTGATCTTGTGCCACTACCTGTCCGGTGGGCACCATTTTACCTCTGATTCATCAGACACTTTCTGTGTGTGAAATTAAAAATGCATTGAGGAGAATGTTAGGACAGAGACTCTTTCCCTGATTTGAAGTTTCCAAGGACAAGATTTCTTTCAAATGTGGGATCATTCAGCTTTGTGATTTCCCCATTTGCATTGTGAAGAGGTAAAGTTCCAAGAGGAGAATTCTGTGTGCTTTCCCCCTGAATGGTTGAATTGGGGCTGAGTTTCTTCTGGTGATGTGAACAGAATGAGGTTGCGGTCACACACACTAAATAATCCACTCTCAGTGCACTTTCCAACTGGATTTTACTGTGTCAACTGGCAAAATCCAGTTGAAAAGTGCATTGGAAGTGGATTAAAAGTGGATTATTTAGGGTGTGTGACTGAAGCCTGAGACAGGTCTAAACAGACGTAATGGAATTCTGAAGAACAGTAGAGTTGAATGAGATATGTTGATTTTAAGTTCAGGTAAGATACCACTTGATATTAAGCTCATAGGAAATCAGAAATAGGCCTGGCCTTGTGAAGTTTAAAACCGAGAAACAGGATGTGAGTCAATTGATACCTGGCCATAGCTCTGGTTGAGTTGCCTCTGAGAATCATCACTTTATGATAAAATACTGGTGGCCTCATGGGAGTAATATCAAGAGTAGATGCACACAGGCCAAATAACTCTCAGCAAACATCACAATATGTTGTCGAAGGCTTTCATGGCCAGAGTTCATTAGCTGTTGTAGATTTTCCGGGTTGTATGGCCGTGGTCTTGGCATTGTAGGACCTGACGTTTCACCAATAGCTGTGACTGGCATCCTCAGAGGTATAACACAGAAAGATGGAGTACTCTCTGTGTCAAGGTGAGATGAAAATTGTAGACAGGCAATTTATATCTACTCAGGAAGGTGGGGGTAGGGCTGAGGCATTATCTTGTAGGAGTTCCCCAGGCTGTGAACATGCTAATGGAGGAGCTTTCCTGAAGAAGTTCTTTTGCATATGGATTGTTTCCTGCGGAGGTTTCCTGTTTTCTGGGAAGGTTCTTTTGCATGTGGATTGGCTGTAATTTCACATGTACACTTTTCTACTAAAAATGATCTAATAGTAGACACCCATGTTGAACTAGGTCATGGAAGGAGCCCTGTATCTGTTGAGCTGGGGTTACAAGTTTATGTGAATTCAGCAAACATGCAAATGCTACTCAAGGCTGTACTAGGGCCATAAGCCCAATAAGCACTGGATCTCTCAAGGAGTTCCAGTAAGAAAAATTCAAAATGAATACTTGGAATTTAGTTCTAGGTTGCCTCTTGATTTCAGTTCTGATGGGCCCCCCCCCCCGGCTGATGTAATTTTCTTGCCTTAACTTACTTGTTCAAAGGGGTGGCATGTTTATTTATTTATTTATTTATTTATTTAATTTTATTTATACCCCGCCCTCCCCGCATGCGGGCTCAGGGCGGCTTACAATATACGGGTGCAATACAACACCATAATTCCACAATAAAGGCACATAGTGCAATAAAAATGCAATAAAACATTTTAAAACAGTTAAATACAGTGGGTAGCACCCAAGGATCCCGCGTGAGTACCACACTCACTCTCTATTGCACATACCCTTGAGTCGAAAAGGGAAGATGCCGTGGCCCCGATGTTCATTGGCCAATCAGCCTCATCCAGCGGTGCTGCTTTGCAGCCCTTGTTGGTGGTAGTAGTGGTAGTATGTTGATGCTAAAATTGCCAATTGTTCTTTTATATGAGTCACATATTTCATTCTTAATAGAAGCAGAATCCACAGTGCCAGGAACAGTTATAGTAGAGGGGTCAGGTCAAGGTGACATCCAGGTGTACTTGAAAACTCTCAAAGAATGTGTCACTAGTGAAGACACGGCTTGGAGTATTTCCATGCTCATGTTTACAGAATGCTTCAAGGTTAGTGAGACCTCTTGTAGATAGGCATAGGATCTGGCCACTGGTGCAACATTCTTACCGTCCAGCACTGAGGTATCAAATTCCCCACAGTTTTCCAGAGCCTGGGAGTGGACAGCTCCAGTAGCTATGCTGGACAGCTCCCTGAATTTTATGGAGGCTCAGGCTGCCAATGTGATCAGGGAAGGAATGTAGGAGTGGCGATTGTAACTCTTGATTGAAATGCTCCTGCGGAAGCTTCTGTTAGCCCTGCAGGGAGAAACATAGAAGCACCGGTGCATTTTTTCTGGGCAGGGCTAACACTAACTTAATATGAGTGATTAGGATCGGGAAAACAGCACAGGGGGAAGTGTGAACCACCCACCCACCCACCACACCCATGTTGTTGAATTTCCAGTCATTTAGCAGCTTCCCATGGTGGAGCCAGTTTGGTGTAGTGGTTAGGAGCGCAAACTCTAATCTGGGAGAACCGGGTTTGATTCCCCACTCCTCCACATGCAGCTGCTGGTGTGACCTTGGGTCAGTTACAAGTCCTCTCAGAGCTGTTCTCTCACAAGCAGTTCTTGAAAGAGCTCTCTCAGCCCCATCTACCTCACAGGGTGTCCATTGTGGGTAGGGGAAGGGAAAGGAGATTGTAAGCCACTCTGAGACTCCTTCAGGTAGTGAAGGGCAGGCTATAAATCCAATCTCCTCTTCTCCTCTTCTTGAGTTAAAGTGAAAATTAAAACATCACATCAAATTTGAAATGGAGGGCCAAATTTGATGTGACTGTACATGTATCTAGTTCTCTTTTCCCAGTGTCTTGACATCACTGTCTTGACATTTTACCGTGTCTTGTGTGCTATAATATCGAGATGTTCTACATTTTCCTGCCCTTGTTCCTGGCTGTTACTCATGAGGATGGGGGAAACATGGAATCTCACAACATCACAACACCAGTTAAGTTCTACTCAGCATTATGGAAGGAGAAGGAAAAACTAGATGGGTGTTGGCTGTTTGGGGCATATTGAATGCCATGCCAAGTTTGGACAAAAGTTCCAGCACCTGTGCATATTCAGTGGATGACCCAGCTGCTCCACTGGGCTCTCTGTTGAACCAGCCCAGACCAATAGGTGGACTGTGTCCACAGCACATAGCTAACAGAGCTCATTTTATTATTCCTCCATAGTTAGAGGTTTATGGAAGCAATTAACATGGTGGCCAACAATAGGCAATCTAAGTATTCTTGCCATCTGGTTTTCTGCCCAAAATAATATTTGGCAGTTCCTGATAATGGTTAATATTTCTTCTGACTGCCTCATTAATGGGTGGGTCCCCCGCTCTGCTGCCTGATGAATAAGCTTTTTGTCGTAAATGGAGTCCTTGGGCAGATTGTGTGTTTCTCTTTCTGACAGTTTTCATTAATGCTGAATTGCCTGTCAGGACAGCTAGAGGGAATGAAATGGCAAAGTCAGTTTTCATCAATGATGCCTGTGCTCAGGAAATAGTGATTTATGAAATATTATTGCATAACCGTGGTGGAATGAATGTATGAAAGTAAATGGGTGCTTCAACAGTCATAAACATTTGCTTTAATTTTTTTATTTGTATTTTTATATGGTTTTACAATATTATCATTCCAATATCAAAATAACATACATTGTAGAGTCTCATACATTCAATGTTTCATACACCTTATCCCATCTTTTGTTATACACTTTTTCATATTTATTTTGCAACTTCAGGCTTAGATTGTCCATTTGCGCAAAGTCTAACACTTTTGCCACTAATTCTTCCCTCGTCGGTACTAAATCTAATTTCCAATTCTTGGCCAATAGTAAATGGGCAGCTGTCATTATATAAACTATTACATATTTATCCTGCTGTTTATAACCCTTAGGTAACATATTTAGAAGGTATATTTCCGGCTCCAATGCTATATTTTTCTCCAACAGTCATAAACATTTGCTTTAAGAAGAGGTGAAATCGGATAGCCCTCAAGGAATTCTAGAACTGTGCCTTTAGTTCTTATTAGCAAAATCCCCCTGTCATTGCCATGGGTTGTATATTGCAGGCGTCGAAGGAAGTGGCAGACGGTGCATCTCTCTAAACTGAGCATCCAACATGAGGAAGGAATCAACCTCATGGGGAAAGGACCTGGAAAATAGTGCAGTGGGGAGGTGGCAGTGCAAAGAGAAATAGACTTTCTTCAGTTTGCCCTGCCCGTGCATTTGAAGGTTCAGAGCCAAGGAAATAAAAAAAAATGCCCCTCCCCCCATTTTGCCCCTTGGAACGTATGAAGGAAGAGAGCAAGAAAAGACATTCCCCTTTCTTCTCCCTCTCCACATGTGCCTCCCCTACCAGGTCCCTGTGTCCAGCATATACCTGCCAAAGCCCAAGCCTGAAGTCCAGTTGAGATCTTGCCCATGTGAATGATGTTGTGCCTTATGGTATGGCTCCCATATCATACTAGGACTAGGGAGCACCTGAAGTGTATTATCCTCTGAGTTGTCCCATTATGAGTACCTGAGTGCATTCCAGAAAAGCATTGGAAGGGGCTGTGCCTCAGTGTTAGACTATCTAGGTGCCAGGTTCATTCCCTTGCATCTCCAGTTAAAGGATTCTGGTGGTTGGTGATGTTAAAGACCTCTACCAAAGACCCTACAGGGCTGCTGCCAGTCCCAATAGACCTCTGTGGATCAAGGATCCGATTCAGTATAAGACAGTTTCTTGGCTTCCTGTGAGGCATGTGTGGCCAAGAAGCAATGGGGTGGAGTAATATTTGGATTGATATTCTAATATAGATTAAATATTTAAATTAATTGTTTCTAGATTCCATTACTTTGGATGCCAGATAAATATCCTAGCTTTTCAGAAGTAATGAACTAAAACCTTCTGATGGCTTGTTAAAGATAAAGCATGGTTCCTGGTTTGTTTGTTTTTCAATTATAAAGAGCATGGAAGGAAGAAAGGATTGGTGGAGGAAGCTGCAATTCTCTCTTAACTCTTTGCTTCTAGAAATGACTCAGTGACATTTGTCCAAATCATGTGAGTCAGAAATTTGGCTTAGCAAAGTTCTTCCATACTTCCTATCTTCTTTTTATTTAGACAACTGATTTTGTGCCTGCCTTCATTTGGGGAATAGCTTAAGAAGGGACTCTCCGTACATTTTCCAGGTAGATTCCAGAACAGAATGATCAACTGATTATTGTAATCTCACAGAGCCACTTTGGTGTAATAACTGGAGTCTCGGACTGCATAAGTGGGAGGCCCACCTTTAAACATGCAATGACTAGGGTTGCCAATCTCCAGGCAGGGTCTGAAGAGCTCCTGGAATTACAGCTGATCTCCAGGTGACAAAGATCAGCCACCCTGGAGAAAGTGGCTGCTTTGGCTCTATAGCATCATACTCTGTGGAGATCCCTCACCTCCCCAAACCCCACCCTCCCTAAGCTCCAGCCACGAATCTCCAGAATTTCTCCACCTGGAGTTGGCAGTCCTACATAAGGCTAGTTGGGTGACCTTGGACCAGCCGTTCTGTCTCAGCTGAAACTACCTCACTGGACTTTTGTTGGGATAAAATGGGGGAGGGCAATATGAGGACAGTATACCTGATCCATTTTCTCAATGTTTCCCCAGGTACAACGTTCAGGACAAAGATGCATTTTTTGACAATGCTACACGCAGTCGAATAGTAAGTCAGTTCTGGAGGATGGGACCCTTTGGAAACCCTCTGGGCATTATGGACTTTGCCACTGTTAAAGTTTTACAGCACACCATAAATGTGCCCGATTCTGTGTAGAGTAGCATAACCCACAAGGTCTGTGCACCTCTATGCTTCCAGTTGAAATTTTGGCAGTGGAGGGTGGGGGAAATAAAAGGAGAATGGAGGGAGAAAAGGAGGAGGATGGTAGCGAGATGGACAAGTGAAGAAATAGTGATATGCATCTAGATTTAGTTTTACTTAACAGAAAGGACCAAGAAGTTACATCAAAGGTTAATGTGAGCCTGTGGGCAATTTTGGAATTCTGAGAAAAGCCACCACAAAATGGGTGCCATGTTGGAGATCACTGATTTAATGGAAGAGGGAGGATGTGAAGAAACAGAAAGGCAATAGGAAGAGAAAGAGGCTCTCCTGGCATGTGTTCTGGGAGGAACAAGAATAGGAGACTGTGGCCCATTCTGCAGCCAGCATTCGCTCCATTGCTTTACCAAACCCACACTGGAACAGAAAAAGATGCGGCTCAAAACCACATTCAAATACCCTGGGCCACGCCATACTGACTGCAGAGTCACCCTGAATGGCCATAAATAGGGGTGTGCACCCAAATAAATTTGGATTTTTTGCGGTTCGGATCTTCCAAACCCGAAAAATTTCGATATTTGCCAATATTCCCGAATCCCAGTATCAGTGTGCTACTGGGGTTCAGGAATTATCAAACTAGCTGAATTTATTTGGCTCAATTATACCCTATGGGGACTGTCCCCCCCCTTGAAGGGAGGGAGGTTCCTATCACTGAAGGGAAGGCAAATTCAACGAAGGGAGCATGCCGCTTCTGTGGTGTAACTCCAGAGAGGTTTAAAGTTTAAATCCTCCCCCGGAGTCATGCCGCAGAGGCAATTTGCCTTTCCTTCAGAGGCAATTTACCATCCCTACTTGGGGGAGGGTAATTTCCCCCCTTTTTCCAGGTGCCTCCCTGTGCCTTCCCCAGCCCACCTGCCAAAGCAGGCGAGCTGGGAAAGGCCTGGAAACAGTGGGGAGGCATGTTAAATGCCTCCCCATGCCTTGCCTAGCCCACCCGCTGAAACAGGCATGCCAGGGAAGGTCTGGCCCACCAGGGAACTTAAAACACTTTCCCTAGCTTCTGGGGCTCATTCTGCCTCCACGGCGTGACTCCCCAGCCAAGGGAAGGTCATTTTAAATACCTTCCCTTGGCCGGGGAGTCGCACTGCAGAAGTGGCACAAGCCCCAGAAGCAAGGGCAGGTATTTAAAGTTTAAACACCTTCCCTTATCTGGAGAGGTGTGCCTGGCGCCTCCCCAGAGAAGGGAAGGTGTTTATACTTAAAACACTTTTCCTTGCTTCTGGGCTTCATGCTGTCTTCACAGTGTGATTCCCCCGGCCCAGGGAAGGTGTTTAAACTTCAAATACCTTCCCTTGGCTGGGGAGTCACACTGCGGATGCTGCACGAGCCCCAGAAGCAAAGGAAAGTGTTTTAAGTTTCAACACTTTCCCTTCCCAGCAAAGGGATTCCCCAAATGAATTACGAATATAAGGCATCCATTCAGGGAATCCCTGTTTGGCCAGCTGAATCAGATTAGGGAACCTGATTCGGCTTTCGGCATGCCTGAATAATGCCAAATAGGCATTTTTGTTTTTTTGTTTGTCCAAACTAGATGCACATCCCTAGCCATAAAATGGCTAAATCTATGCAGACAGTACCATAAACTCAAGAGATCGAAGGAAATGAAACTGGTATGCAGTGTGAAGGCTTCTATAAAATCTGAGAATCAAAGAAAGTGAAAGTGGCACTACTGTTAAAGTGGGATTTAAATCAAAGAAAGTGAAAGTGGCATTACACTATAGCATTACTGTTCCAATGTGGATTTGGATAAATGGTGGTTCGAATGTTAGATGCAGAATGGGCCAGTGAACGAGAATGAGCATAGTAGAAGTGAGGTTGGAATGAAATACTTGGGTGATACTTGTGTTTGCAGAGCAGAACACTGCCCTTTCTTGGTGCCTTAATCTTTACTTTTCTTGGTTTATATTAACAGAATGGGTCAGAAGTTAAATCTTGTTCTCATTGTTTTTACTGGTGGGGGGGACAGCTTCAGTGATTGCTATGAGTGAATTGTATTAAAGGTTTGATGCTTTAATTCATGTATTGGATAAAACTGGTTACTGAAATGCACAGTGAGATTCTGTTCTATGCTTTGGGATGGAACCAGAGAACATTTCTGCTGACTAAAGGGGTCTGAGATCCTGCCTCACCAGTTCTGACCTCTCCAATGCTATTCCCAGGCATCTCTTGCCCTATAGAAGCATTTTGGGGACCAATTTGGGCTGCAGTATGAGGGGGTCCTGCCCGTATTGGCACATTTTTTTCTACCTTAATCTCTAGGGAGGATATCCCCTGAAGGCTTTCTTAGGACTTTAAAAAAAGTTAGTGCTATATTGCTATGATGTTAGAAATTTATTTCAGCAATGTGCTAGTTTGCAGCTTTATTTATTTTCAAAAGCAAGTCTCTGGCCCTTTTCCTGGTGGACTTATCAGGGGAAAGGTTCTGGTGGTGCATTTCCCGTCATAACACCACCACAACCAAAACAGGCATTTTAAAATGGAAGGTGGGAACTGGTAGATTGTTGCAATAGATGATGATGATGATGATATTGGTATATCACTATAGCATTACAGCTATTACTGACTAAAAACAATAGACCCGAAAAACCTCTCTAGTGAATATTAAAAGGTTTTAGGAGATGCTTTGATCTTATGCTGATTTTTTACCATAATGAACATTGACCGACTGACTGCTCTATAGTAACAGGGGGAGAACTATCAGCTATGGAGGGCTTCAGCAAGGGATGGGAGAGCAGCAGGGGAAGGGAGGAGAAGACTTCTGTGTGGATGCTTCATTGCAGAAATAAGAGCCAGTGAGAGCTAGATGCAGAATTATCACTGTTTAGAAACAGCCCTGATATTTCTGGGGAAATTGTATACTATATGGGGAGATCAGTAATGAAATATGGTATAAATAAACCTTTCTATAGTAAAAAAAAAATATAGTAGACCATCTTCTCTATGTAGGTATTGGTTTCTGTCATGCTAGAATGTTTAATCTATACAGCTAAGTTTTGTTATATTGCTTTTTAATATAGGTACATGAAATTTTGAAGCGTACATATAGTACAAAAGCCAAAAACAGTATGGGTAAGGATTTGTGCATTTTCAACATACATTATGTTTGAAGCGGCTTTTTTGTGTGTGTGTGAATACATTTGAAGAATTAATTTAAATTATGCATCTGGCAAGCATATAAAATTGCGTTCACAGTGCATCCTGCTCTGTCCAAATAGCCTGGGACCAATCCCAAACATCTGGATAATCAGTAGTTAAAGTTGTGAGATATGCTTTACAGGGCTGCTGGGATGAAATCAGTGGTATCTTGTGTGCTTGTGTATGGGGCCAGGGATCCACACATTTTGGCTAGTCTTCATAGCTTGCTGAAATTTGTGATCAACATGACCTTGTCCCCTCTCCTGTCTCAGGGGAGAGATGGAGTCTCACATCTGAGGTTGAGCTTTGGAGGTGCTCTGAGAGCCAAAGCATAGTGCATGGTCAGTATTGCTCCTTCTTCTTAGCTCCAAACTCGAGGAGGAGGGTTAAAGGGGGCTTTTTCATGTTGCTTTCCAGAGACATTTGGGACTCTGCCCCTCAGCCAGCAATCTCGCACTCACCTCCTGACTTTGCCTTTGGGAGAAGGGTGTGGTGTCATTGGGCTTGCCTGGATGGGGAGGATTGCTTTCATGGCAGTACCATGCAATTATTCTGGGAACCAATTTTAGGCATAAAGGACTGTACAGGGACAATCAGCAGTCTTTGGAAAGAACTGAAGACCAGTGCTTTGTATTTTTAAAAAGTGCCAGTACTCATATATAAACTTTCACTGATTCCCTCCAATTCCCCACTCAGGGCTTGGGACAGCCTCCCCCCCTTTCAAAAAAGGTGCCACGAAAAAGAAGTGTTGGGGATTATAGGATGACAGAGATGATAGAGCTAAGGGAACAATGGTCACAGACTAAGACTGGATCTCCAACCTTGTTGAACCCGTGAGCACTTTTGGAATTATAAGAAAGGAAATAGGTGCTTTGGGGGGGGGATCTCATCATTTCGAAAACGTGTCAACCACCACCCAGATCACAGTTTTCCCTTTGCTGGGTGGCAAGTCAGTTATAAAGTCCATGGAGATGACTTCCCAGGGTCAGTCAGGGGTCTCTAAGGGCTGCAGAGTTTTTTGGGGGTTTCCCAGGTCTCCTTTTCCCCATTAAGCAAGTCTGGCAAGTCCCCACATACTGGGATATATAGGCCTGCATGTGGGGCCACCAAAATTGTCTTTGGATCAAGTGTAAGGTTTTCAGATAACCATAATGTCCAGCCAGTTTTGATTCATGCCCAAAATGAAGTATCTCCCCCCACAAGGACTCGGGAACAAATAGCCATCCCTCCCTGTACCAGCACCCATTTTTCTTTAGTTGCAATGAGGACTCTTAGTTAATTTCCTCTCGGTCTGTGTCTGAGATGGCAGCTTTAAATTTGCAGATCCAGGGCTCACTGTCACCTTGCAGATTTTCGTTGGTGTAAACCCCCCCCCCCCAGTTGGGAGGGCATGAACATGGAGTTCACCACCTCCTCTTTTTGACTGGCATGCTGAGGTAGGTGGGACACGGCATGGGCCAGAAAGTTAGATTTCCTGGGAAGGTGCTGAAGAGTGAAACAAAACTTAGAGGAAAAAACTCCAGCCATCAGAGTTGCTTGGTGTTAAGGTTCTGGGGTGTGTGTAATACTTTTTTTGTGGTCTGTCTATACCTCAAATGGTACCCTTGCCCCCTCCAGCCAATGCCGCCAAGTGGTTAAGGCGAGTTTGATGGCTGCAGCCTCCTTGTCCCAAACCACTCAGTTCCATTCAGTGGGGTTAAATTTCTTTGATACATAGGCAAGGAGGTGGAGTTTGCCATCATCCCCCTTTTACAGGATCGCCCCCCCCCCCCGGTCAAATTGGAGGCATCTACCTAGACCACAAAAGGTTTATGCTCATCCGGATGGTGTAGAATGGGCTCTGAGGTAAGCAGCTCCTTGAGCCGTTCAAATGCTTGTTGGCATTCATGGGTCCAGGCCAGTTTAGTGCTTGGTTTAACATTCTCTGGCCCCTTCCCTTTGGTTTTTAGCAAGTCAGTGAGGGGAAGGCTTACTTGCACAAAGTTGGGAATAAAAGGGAGGTAGAAATTTGTGAAGCCTAAGAAAGATTTTAACTGCTGCCTGGTGCAGGGGGGGAGCTACCACCCCAGTACATCCTGTACCTTGTGGGGGTCCATTCCCTGATATGCAATACCCCAAGAAGTCCACCTCCTCTTTGTGGAATGCACACTTTGACAGTTTGGCGAACAGCTTATGTTCATACAGAGTTGCTAGCACCACCCTCACCAAAGTCTCATAGGAGTCCTTATCTTGGGAATAGATTAAGTTATCATCAAGATAAACCAGAACCCCCTTGAACAAGTGTTTGTACAGCACTTCATTAATCAAATTCATGAAGACACCCAGGGCCCCCGTGAGCCCAAACGGCATGATGAAATATTCAAATTGCCCCAGTGGGGTGTTGAATGCCATTTTATGCTCATCTCCCTCTCAGATGCGGACTCTGAAGTAAGCATCTTGTAAATCCAGTTTGGTAAAAAAATTTCCCCCTTGCCGCCTCTGCCAAAGAGGTCTCTGATCAATGGGAGGGGGTAAGCATTAGACATGGACACCACATTCAGTCCCCTATAGTCTGTGTACAGCCTCAAACCCCCATCCTTCTTTTTCTGGAAGAGGACAGGGGCGGCGAATGGTGAAGAAGCTGGCCAGATGAAGCCCCGGGCTAGGTTTTTGTCAATACATTTATGCAGCTCCTCCTTCTCCACCAGGCTCATGGCATACAATTTCCCTTTAGGCATAGTATGTCCTGGCAAAAGCTCAATGGCACAGTCTGTTTTACAATGGGGGGGGGGAAAGCTCATCAGCTTCTTCTTCCTCAAACACCCGGGCCAGATCTCTACATTCTGCAGGGATGGATTCAAGCTCCCCCTGGGCTAGACAGGTTCGTTCTGGTAGGGCCGGTGGAGCCTCCCCCCATTCTTGCTTCCACTCGTAGTTATTGCATTTAGGGTCTGGGAAGTGTAGCATACCTGCACTCCTCTGCATGTAGGGGTCACAGCCACAGGTTCCCCAGGACCATGGAGAATCAGGCCATGGGGTTAATTACAAAAGCCTGCTGTTCCCAGTGAGGCCCCGTCCCCATGAGCACCAGCACCATGTGGTATTTACATGCCTCCTTCATTGGGGAGCCGTCCATCTGGGTAAACAGCAAGGGCTTAGGAAGGGTTTGTACTGGCACTCCTAACCCGGTAACTATTGCAGGGCTTATTAAGTCTCTAGCACACCCTGTCAATTAACACCCTCACTCTCACTTGGGTGCCCATTTCAGGGTTCAACACCATTAGTCACAAAGAATGGGGGACACTGCTCACTGATTTTGGTGCCTGACGCTTTCAGACCTGCCGGGTTGTGCCCTTCACAGCAGGTCCCAGTCTTTCCCCTGCGGCTGAGAGGCATTGTCTCCGCTAGACAAAGCCCCATCAGGGCTCCCCCCCACGTTGAGTTGGAGAGCTCTCAGTTGCTTGGGGTGCGCTCCCCAATTTTTGGTAACCCTTTGGAGCTGCGACGCTCTCCTCCCTTCCCCTCCCACGGGGGAGATTGGTGGAGCAGCTATCAGCATAGTGGCTGGGCTCTCTGCATCTCAGGTGCAACCCCTGTTTTATCCATCGGTCTCACATGGTATCTCAGGCTTTATTGCATTGCCCCTTTGATTCCCTAGGGGTTGTCTTCGGCTGGTACGTTTTGATCAGGGCTGCTCAGTTCTTGGGCTCACTGGTGTCTCTCATCCATCCGCTGAGGGTTAAGGGATTTCCTTGGCTCAGCACCTTCTCCAGGATGGCTTGGTTCAGGCCCACCCGATAAAGCTCAATGAGGACTTCTTCGGGCCACCCTTGCACCCTTGTTGCATGCATCTTAAACTTGTCCAAGAACTCACAAACTGACTGGTTTCCCTGGTATAGAGCCCGCAGCTTTTTTATAGCCTACTCCAGTTCGAGGGGGTCTTCATATTGCCTCTGAAGGGCCCACAGGAACATGTTGCAGAGCTCGGGGTCTCTGAAATTGTGGAGGCCCATGAACCAATCGGCCACTTGTTCTCTCAGGCGCCAACCGATGTAATCCACCCGGTGCTCATCTGAGGTGAGTGTAGGTCCCCAGTCCTGTAGGAATGTGTGCACCTGCAACAGGAAGAAAGCCAGCTTTTCTGGGTTGCCATTGAAAGTGGCATCCAGTAACTCTCAGGGCTGCTCAGATCTGGGTGGCGGGCAGCGTGTGCTGGGGGACCAGGAGGAACCACTGGAGGTGCGGGTCCTAGTGGTACCTGCCCCGGCGGAAGTTGCCCAGAGGGTACTTGTGTTGGGGGCTCCTGGGCAGGGGGTGCCTGCTGCTGCTGTCCATGATTGGGGTGTCCCCCTCCATCTGGGACCCAACCCCGCAGCTCATGTTAGAAGGTCATATTAACAGCCCATCTTATGGAACTCCCACCTCAGCTCCTCAGTTTCCCTATGGAATTCCTTCTGCACTCGTTCAAAGTCTACTTCTTCCACCACAGGGAAATAGGTCAGGTCTTCCTAAAAGGGGCCTCTGTAGGATCAGCTGTCAGTGCCCAGTTCTCTTTGGTCCATGTTGGTATTTGAGCCCACGAGTCCCTGGGTTTTACCCCAATATTCCTGGGTTCCCCCATCATCAGGGGTTAGCTGTAGTCTTCGGTTCCATTTCATCACCGGTGGTAACCAGGATGTCCCTGTTTCCTCTGCTAGCCATTGTAGGGTACAAGGTATGGGAACTCTGAGGAGTTCTAACAATTTGTCAGAGCCCCTGGAGAAATCAGTTTCCAATAACAGTCATTCGGAAGAATTAAAGTTTATTGATACTTTGATAGGATCCAGGCTCATAACATTCTTTGTTAGAACTGAGGTCAAGTGTGCGAAACAAGCAATTATACTGCAGTCAAAACAGACAGTAGTGGCTCTTGGCCAATTGCACCTAAGCTAAAACCCCACTGAACCAACAGCCTA